ACTGTGTTAGTAGTTAACTTTTTGCTTTAGATTACTCTTCAGTAAATAGTTGTTAATAAAAATACCTGCCTTATGGGATTACTGTGAAGGGTTAAAAAATAATCTACTTAAAGCACTTGGAACAGTAACACTGCTGTAATAGTATAGACTCAATAAATGATAGTTTATCATTACTAACCTTTTCTAAGAGAAATAATTGCACAAAAAGAATCAGTGATGTGATCTCTTTCAGAATCATTATGACATGAATATAAAATACAGGTAGTCCCTTCATCAACTCTTAATTCCTTCATATTGAAATTGAAAATTTAGCCCTGGCTGATGTGGCTCAGTTGGAGTGTTGCCCTCTACACGAAAAGGTTGTGGGTTCAATTCTGTTCAGGGCACATACCTAGGTTGCCGATTTGATCTCTGGTTGAGGTGCATACGAGAAGGCAACTGATTGAAGTTTCTCATCTCTCTCTCTCTCTCTCTCTCTCTCTCTCTCTCTCTCTCTCTCTCTCTCTCTCTCGTAGTATCTCTATTTTTACTAGGATTATAATCATTGGCACATTAGTGTCCGGGTCAGGTTTAGTGCAAATCCAGTCATACCTTTAAGGTTATGAATATTATTCAGTGGTATACATTGGAGTGTGTACCTAGGCTACATTCTTAATTTTTCTTTAAAGGTACTTAAGTTCAGTCTCTCTTCCCTAGCTTTATTGGTATATTTTTAGTGGCATATTTTATTCTTGGTTTGAGTGAAACCAGTTATCTCTCTGGAACAGCATTTCTCAACATGTGGGTCACGACCCCTTTGGGGGTCCAACGACCCTTTCACAGGGGTCGCCTAAGACTATTGAAAAACATATATAATTACATATTGTTTTTGTGATTAATCACTATGCTTTAATTATGTTCAATTTGTAACAATGAAATTGGGGGTCACCACAACATGAGGAACTGTATTAAAGGGTCATGGCATTAGGAAGGTTGAGAACCACTGCTCTAGAATATCTTGCTGCTAAAAAAATATTTTTTTTAGACTATTTGCCATTCTATTTGTATTCTTAAGTTTATTCCTACTATTCTTGGGCTTAAGACCTTTTCTATCTTATAACTTGTTAGTTTTACATTTATGTACTTCATTTAATATTATAGCTTAGAAACAGTAGGATAAAGTCCTCCTGAAATTTAACCAAAGTCCCCAAACTCAGAAAGAAATTTTATATATAGTATTATAGTACTAGCTAATGTATATGTATTACTTTATTTAGTGAGACACTGTTCGAAGCCCTTTATATTTATTCATTTAATCACTAAAACAACTCTATGGGATAGGTGCCATGAATATGCCCAAATGAAGAAACTGAGACTTAGAGTTAAATAGCTATTTTGTTTAAACTAGGTATTATTAAAATGAAGGAAAATGTAAAACACAATTCTCTTAGTAAATTAAAAATAATTTTTCTTCCACTAGTCTTTGAATTCCTTAAAGCCATAGATTAATGAGTAGCTATTTAGTAAATAATTGTTATATTGAAATTGACTTTAAACTTTATATCATTTTAAAAATGAAACACAAGAGGGTGCTATTTACTATTCACTACTAGTGTTTTGCTTTTAAAAAAATATTTCTCCTTGTGAAATAGGGTGCAATAGCAACTTTATTATTATTTTTTTGTTCTGGCTAGAACCATTAATTTATTTTCTTATATTTTTTACTTCAGTTTATAGATTATTAGTTTTGTATTGGCCTTCTCCATGTAACAGATTGACAGTATGTATCTATTTGAGGGGCACTAGATTTCTAAATATATTAAGTAATTTTGCTAAATGAAAAGAAAAGTAATGGAAAGTTTTTTAAAAAATCTTTATTGTTGAAAGTATTAGATATGTCTCCTTTTTTCTCCCACTGACCCCTTTATTGCCTGCCCCTGCCCTCCCACCCCATACCTCTACCACCATACTGTCTGTGTCCATGTGTTATTCATATTGGAAAGTTTTTTGAAGAGGGTCTTTGATTTCTTTAAAGCCAAATTTAACATTTGAGTGCATTAAGTCTTAGGAATTATTTTCCTAAATTAAGAATATGTAATTATGACATTTTACTGAAGAGCAGTTATAGCAAGAAACTTGCTATTTAGAATTTACTCTTTGTCCCATTGGATCACCTATGAATAGGGTGACCATACATTTCAATATGCTAGGAACAGTCCTGCTCACATCTGTTGTTGCAAGCTGTTGTTTTACTATGATAACATCGCATCTATTATTATAACATAACTAGAGGCCTGGTGAATTAAATTCATGCATGGGTATGGTCCCTAGGCCTGGCTGGCGATTAAAGCACGAGCGTCTGGAGTGGAAGGGCAGGTTCCAGCTGACCTCTGGGCCCTGGGCAGCACCTGGGCACCTGCTCACACCCGCCTTAGCCTGGCGCCGCCCACTCACCTGCTCCACTATCCCGCTGCGGTCCCGCTCTCGTCGGACCTATCAGTACCAGCAGAGCCACTTGCTGCCAGCACCACATTGCCAATGGCCACCATGTTCTGTGCTGCCCCTGGTAGTCAGCGCACGTCATAGTGAGCGGTTGAACTCCTGGCCTCCTGGTTGAACTCCTGGTCTCCCAGTTAAACTCCCGGTCGAACCAGCGCCCAAGGGGACAATTTGCATATTAGGCTTTTATTATATCTTATATAATAAGAGAGAAATATGCAAATTAGGCCAGGACATCATGACCAGCTCAGAGCAAGCCCCCAACCCCAGCGGACACACACCACACACCAGGGCTGGGGGCGCAGCTCAGAACCCCCACCCCCACCCCCTCAGCCCTGGTGCCGCCCAACCCCGAGGCCACTCCCACCAGGGGTTTGAGGTCAGGCACACTGCACTGCCTGCCCTGGGAGCAAGACCCCCAGTAGACCCACAGACTTGCCCAGGGGGGCGTGCTCCGAGCTGCTGTGGCCAGACTGTGGCTTAGGCCCGCTCCCCACAAGCCATCAGTAGGACACCCCCTGAGGGCTCCCAGACTGTGAGAGGGGGCAGGTTGGGCTGAGGGACACACACCCAGTGAATGAATTCCGTGCACCGGGCCTCTAGTAGGATAGTAATAATTAATGGCTGCTCTTTTTTACTCTTAATCTCCCCCCCCCCCCCAATTTGGATGATAAATTGAATAGTTACTCTGTCTGTGAAAGCTACCATTGAGAAAGGTAGTGGGAATAGAAATACAAATAGGTAGAATTTTAGAAATTGTTTGTATCAGAGGTCCCAAGGTCATCTGAATGATTTACTAGGATTCACAGGACTCAGAAGTTGCTAGGCTCATGGTGGGGGTTTATTGTGAAAGGGTACAGAGTAAAATCATAAAAACATATGAGGAAAAGTCTGATGGAACCAGGTGCAATCTTCCAGGTGTCCCTTCCCCCTGGAGTCACACAGATGTGCTTAATTCCCCCAGAAGTGATATATGATGATATGTGCAAAGTGTCCCCAACCAGGGAAGCTCATCTTAGCCTGGGTGTCCAGAATTTTTATTGGGGGTCAGTCATATAGGTACGTAGCACCTGTGTGACTGACCTTGATTATTAAGTTCCTGAACCTCAGAGAAAAAGAGATGTTTGCCGTAAATCATATTGGTAGCATAAACTCATATGTACAGTGTGGCCCAAGACCACAGGCCCATTAAACACTCTTGTCAGAATTTTCCAAGGGCTTGGTTCCCAGGAGCTAGCTGAGGGCTAGTCTGAAATCAGATCATTTCGGGGAATGTGTAGGTTTCAGCAAGCCATGTTGGCTGAGTTAATCCTTTCTCATATATGGTCATAGAAGGTATTCAAGCCAGAGTTTGAACCCAGGAAGTCTGATTCCAAAGACTGTTCTTTCCATAAGTAATTTTTAGAGATCTTTTATACTGATTTGCTAATTGGAAATTACTGGTTACATTAGATGTGATAGTGACTTGGACTATGCCCATCTATCCTGATAAAATTCTTCTTTTTAAAAAATATGTTTTTTATTGATTTGAGAGAGAGAGAGAGAGAGAGAGAGAGACTTCAGTATGAGGGAGAAATATCAATTGGTTGCCTCCCACACACACCCTGACTGGAGATTGAATCTACAACCTGGGCATGTGCCCTGACAGGGCAGTGACCTTTTGGTTCATGGGACTATGCTCAATCAACTGAGCCACACAAGCCAAAGCCTGATAAAATACTAATAAGCTTTCTTTTTCCTCACATGAGGATAGGGAGTTTGATTTGAGTATTTTCCAGTGCTTTGTAGGTAAAAGGTGCTAAGAATTTCTAGTTCTTATTTTCAGCTAAGTTTGTTTTATATGTTAATGTATTGAAAAGTAGTTTACATGAAGAATAGTTTATAATTACTTATTTTGCACTTAATATAATGTTTTAATTAAAAAGCAGATATCCATACTCTGGTTTCTCTTCAGATCGCATAAATCTTTCGCCTTTTACTAAAAAGCAGATATCCTATACAATAAAGAGGTAATATGCAAATTGACCATCATACCCTCACAAGATGACCGCCCCCATGTCGTCACAAGATGGCCGGCAGGGGAGGACAGTTGAGGGCGATTGGGCCGGCAAGAGAGGGCAGTTGGGGGCAATCAGGCCAGCAGGGGAGGTCAGTTGGGAACGATCGGGCTGGCAGGGGAGTGATTAGGGGGTGATCAGGCTGGCAGGCAGAAGTGGTTAGGGGTGATCAGGCTGGCAGGCAGGCAGGCGAGCGGTTGGGAGCCAGCAGTCCCGGATTGTGAGAGGGTTTTAAATTGGCAGTCAGACATCCCCTGAGTGGTTCCAGTTTGGAGAGGGTTCAGGCTGAGCTGAGAGACACACACCCCCCCTCCCGTGCATAAATTTCGTGCACCGGGCCTCTAGTGTAATAATAGATTTATAAAAGTTTTTGTCACAAGATTGTCTGCCTTATAGATAATAGATTTGAATGAACTTACACAGTTCTCAAAAGCTTTTAACTTTTTCTCTTTTCTTTTTCCTTAGGTATTTGTGGAAACATTAGACAAGTGTTTTGAAAATGTCTGTGAACTGGATTTAATTTTCCATGTAGACAAGGTACTACTTCTATATTGTCAAATCTTCTAAGCTTTTTACCTGAGAAAAATGTTGTTTTATTTGCAAAGTAAAAATGTATTTAGTGAATAAGGCTATTTTTATTCTCTTCCTAGGATTGTGTGAATGGAGGAAATTACATTTAAACTGGATTTTTAAGGATTAGTAGATATTTTCACAGACAGAAAAGGAGTGGTAGCTCTTTTTTGGAAGTTGGATTGTTAAGTAGGAGATTAAAAACAGAGAAATCAATTTAGGAATCTGTTGCAATAGTCCAGAAAGAAATGAACTAAGACAGTATAGTAAGGATGAAAGAGAGTAGAGTAGGACCCTGATAGCCTATTGAAAGCTGGAGGTAAGAGAAGGGAAGAATGACTGAGTTTTCTAATCAGTATTATTGGGTATTGGTAATACAGAATTTAGAAGAAAGAGATTCCACTTTTACTATATATAGATTTTTTTCTGTATTAAGGTTATGTAATTTAACATTGCTTTGAATTATTAAGCCATTGAATAAAATAGTCTGAAATAAGTGGCCTAAATTTTTAGCAAAAAAGTGATTTTAAAAAATTACCTTACCTTCGGCCTCATCGGTGTGGCTCAGTTGAGCGTTGACCTGTGAACCAAGAGGTTGCAGTTCGTTTCCCAGTTAGGGCACATGCCCAGGTGTGGGGTGTACAGGAGATAGCTGATCAATGATTCTCTCTCATCATTGATGTTTCTATCTCTCACTTCTTCTCTCTAACAAAATCATTAGGTAGCTAATATTTATTGATCATTTACTTTGTTTTGGGTACTTCCATGGATGACCTCATTTAATTTTTTCAGCAATCTATGAAGGAGATACTATTATTATCTCTGTTTTATAGCCCATTAAAATAAGACTTAAAGAGGTTATATATAACTGCCTAAAGCTTCACAGTAGTGATGAAAGCAGGTTTTACGCCTTCATTCCAAATTATTTTATTATACAGCTCACAAAGTAGACACAGCAGTATTTGAACCAAAAACTACTGGAATTATGAAATGTTTTTGTAGTGAGTTTTCTTTATAGGTGTGTATTATTTTTTTCCCTTTAGGTTCACAATATTCTTGCAGAAATGGTGATGGGGGGAATGGTATTGGAGACCAACATGAATGAGATTGTTACACAAATTGATGCACAAAATAAACTGGAGAAATCTGAGGTAAGAACAGAAAGTGCTCTAGTTAGTGAAGGTGGTAAACATGGTCATAAATTATGCATGATTTGTAGCTTTCACTGTTTGTCCTTTAGTATCACCTTTAGGTACAATTGGTATGCTTATCCAGTTTCTAAGTGGGATGTACATATTGTAGTATGCCAGATGTTCTGTGGCTACTACCCACCAAGTAGTTGTGCATCCTTCTTTTAGCCATGGTCATACCTGCCTTGGGTAATTAACACAATTCCAAATTCTTCCTGCTTAAAATGAAATTATTTACTTGAAAATGGAATATTAGCTTTCTAAAACATTAGTCAGTAATTATCAAGGACATCTTAAAACTTATATTTTAAAGATATATAAATTTAGCATTATAAAACTATTTCTGGAAGAGGAGAGAAAAGGCAATGGAATTCTCATGAGGAAATAGTAAGTTATAATAGGTGCTTAGCAAGCCTGAGTACATATTGAAAAGGGAAATTCAGTGCCTTAATCTTTTAATTCTGGATCCTACCCAAAGGTCACTGACCAGTTTGCTAAGTCATATATTTTATTCGTTGATACATATATTCATGGCTTTTATTGCATTCTATAAAGGAAAGATTTGGTTAGTTATGCAGTGCTAACTTTGTGCTGTTAGGTTAGGTGAATGGGGACCAGCCAGCACTTTAGCATTGTATAAAACCCTACTTTGGAATTTAGTGACTCCTCCCACATGTACTAGGCTGAATATTAGTGACAGGTGCTTTAGCAGAGTCACTCAAGTTCACATTATTTTGGTTATTTATTACTGTAGCAGAAGTTTAGATAGATAACATCTTAATATCTCATTCAGTGATATGTTTGAGGATACTCTTAACCTTTGGTATTTATAGTCATAACTCAGATTAGGAAAATATATTTTATAATTATTAGGATAAGTTCAGATGTTTGATTGGTATAAAGTACTATAAAAGCAGCAAGATATTAAAACTGTTAGCATTAATTCCCAACAGGTGAGTTCTGAAGAATTATTAATTTATTGGTACTTTAAAGGATCAGTTTAATACAAATAAATACTATGCTCATTAGAACTGAATAAAACACAGGATGGTGGATAAATCTGAAATCTGAGGGTTAAAAACAGTTGAAACTTTGATAAAATCATTTACCAGTGTTTTATTTAAAATTTCTTCTTATCTCAATTTACCATCCCTATTGGTTTTCCAAAGGAGAGACTTATAATAGTGAAGAGCTTAAAATTATGGCTCTTTTAAGTAACTATGTATTTTGTGTGTTCTACAGCCAATTTTTCAAGTATTGGTTTTTGAAAGGGGAAAATATAAACTAGATTAAACTAGGACAAGGAAAACAATTCAGAATATTATTTAGTGTGGTTGGTTTGCAATATATAATGTATAGTAAAAGATTTACTATAAACTCTAAGCTGTAGTTTTTTAAAGTCTTAAAATTATAATTTGAAAATTTCTTTTTACACACAATCTGGTTTATTGGCTCATTTTACATGCACACCAAATATATATGCAAACATAAATAGTTCAATGTACAAATTTACATGGGACTCACAAATCACCCCCTTGTCTTTCATCCAGCACCCAAACCTGTGCTCTATCCCGGCTCCACTTTGGGATGAAGTTCACAGGGGGCTGGCACTAGAGGGTGGGAATCTGGAGGAGGGAGAGGTCCTGCTCCCCTTTCTTCACAGGTACCTCCGAAAGGTCCTGTCCCTTCTCAGTGGCACCATAGGGCAGAAGGCTAAATACCTCCACTCCCTCTCTGCCGCAACTCAAATCCCAGACATCTCCTCTAATCCATCTCGCCAATTTATATCATCTGTTAAACTTTTCATTACAAAACGATGGTTACAGATTTTGAATGCCAAGAGACAGACAGTGACACAATCCATTAATCACTATAAAATGAATGGATGTGATAATTTGTCAATTCTGTGTAATCATCTGTAAAAATATATAGACTTCTTGCCTGGAATTTTCACATTGAAAATTTCCAGGTATTTAAACTCCTTTCCATTGGTGGTGTCCTTTTCTTTTTTTTTTCTCCTTAGTGTGTGATATATGTAATATTGACAAAAGTCATAAAAGACCTATAATAATTGCATAATGGATATTTGTTTTTTGGTTATTCAGTGATATTTTGTTAAGCAGTTTTTTAATTTATAAAGAGCAGTGAAATGCAGAATTTACATTTTTGATAGAAAGTTATAAGAATACTATACTATTTTAAATAGTTCTGAATATTAGTGAATACTCCCATTTTTCATCCACTAATAATCTTTTAATATATAGTTAGTTGTTATCTGCTACCACATTAGTTTTGTTTTGTTTTTTGTCTCCTTTACAAGAAAGTATATTTTAAATCTGATTGGGGATAAAACCCAACATATGTTCAGTAAGTGTTTCTCTATATGTGATGTCTGCTAATATTTAGTTATAAAAAAGTCAAAGTGAGACTATTTAGTCCTGATCATATTTTAAGAAATTGTGTTGAAATATAATGTTGACTTTTTGTAATTTTTTAGTAATTTTCATATATTTTAAGTATCTTTAGAAGTCTACCAGCTTTATTTTAGACACACTGAAATGTCAGAAATTTTCATGTGAGTTATATTTCCAGGTTACTTAAATTGGTTATATCTACCAAACATATGAATGCAGAATAACCCAAAATTACTAATTTAATTAAGATCTATTATGTAAACAAAAACTTACCATGAAAGGCTTAATTAAAATTCAGAGTATCATAATTGATGACAAGATCTGGTTATCTTATTTTTAAAGTTAATTTAAGTGATATGTAGAATAGCATTTATCTTTTAAAAATCAGCCTGGGTTTAATTTAAGATAAGCTCTTAAAATATATCATAGATCTATCTAGGTGCCTTTACTTTGTCAGATTTCAAAGATTTTATTATTTTGGATTAATGGTAGTATCAATCAAAAGAGAACAATCAAAAGTGAACCAGTTTCATTCCCAATACCTAGACAGGTAGGAGCAAAGATCACCCAGATCTTTAACCATTTGTACGCAATTAGCTTCTATAGACGCATACAGCAGACCTTTTTAATCAAATTCAAAATATCGTGGCAGTTAACTGGTTAAAGAGAGAAGAAGCAAATATATGCTTTCAGTGTATTTTCAGCTATCTTGCTTTGACAGAAAAATGGTTTGCTTGTAACATTGGGATCTTGTGAAAGGAGGGGTTAAGCTGGGAAGTTGGTGGGATTTGGGAAAAGTCTAAAAGGCACCCAGGAAGTTGCCTAGGAATTAAAGGACTCCCTGTGGGTGGAGGAGGATGGGTTGGGGAGACTTGTTAGTTTTTATGTATTTCATGTTATTTTTAAGATGAAAAATGACTCTGATTTTAGTTACTACTTTTTTAAAGTTAGTCCTCTTTTTTTTCCGAACATCTGATCTTTCTAGCTCTTTCCATTCTTCTCTTTACAGACCTTTATCTTTCAATCTCCCAGACAGGACAGGTAGACAAGGTATTGCTGACTTTGAGAAAAATGTACTTTAACAAAAGGGAAAGCAAAATGATGTCAAAGGCAATTAATTATGTAGGCCAGACTCAAAAATTCTTTGTGTTAATGAACCCATATAGTCCCTGTAGCCTATTTTTCATTCTAGTTTCTCCTTGTAGTTTCCTCATCTTTTATTGGACTTAGTGTATTTTTCTAGTATATCATCAATGTCATCTTTGTTCTGTTTTGTCTGCCTGCATTGTGAAAGGAAAGATTAAGTTTTTTGTTATTATTTTTAAACATTGTCATTTAACTGACAAATTACATTTTGTAGAAATGACAATTTATTTGGTATGTTAAATTTAGAATTTATTTTGAGCATCATGTGGCAGAACCAATCTTACTTTAACACTCATAGATTTTTCCCCTCATCTTTCTAAATTAGGATTCTAACACAAAATTGCCTTCTAGGTTTTGGAAACTGTGAATTTAAAACCCAAAAGCTGAGCCTTCAAAGTTTTGCATACAAAGTAGGAAGCAGTGAAGGCTTAGAACAGTGACTGTTAAATAGTACTGCAATTCCAAAGTCTTAACAGAATTGCTTTTACTAGTTTTGACTAACAGGTACATATTAAAAGTAGCCAATAAAAAACAAGATCAGAAATTATTAAAATTGAATTAAATGTTCTAAAAAATGGAATTAAATATATTTACCAAAATAAAGTGGATTTCTACTGTAGGAACCTTCTAACATCCAAACATGTCGTAATAAGACAAAAAATATTATAAACTTTGAGTGTTTTTGCGAAGCATGTTGGCAAATATTAGAAATGTTTTTAATAGACTCCTAGCTTTATGAAACTAAATTTTCTCTGAAAAAAATTTTTTACACCATAGTTGACTGTTTGAATTACTTTTTAAACATTTCTCTGTAGATGAGCAACAACTTTTTTGTACAAAGCCATTTCAGGAAAAATGAAAATGTTTATAGGACCCCATTTAAAAACTTCAAAATAAAAATACTTTATTGAGCCCTATGAAGGAAAAAAATCTATCAACTTAACAAGTTAGATTACCTACCTTATAATTAGGAAAATGTCACTGAGAATATGGCATAGCTATTTAGCCGCTAAATTATTGCTTTCTGGATGTGTTTAAGAAGCAGCATCAGACAGGTGATTTTCTAAGATCTTATCCCAGGATCATAGGCTATATCATGAAGCTGGGTGTACCACATTGGGTCCCTAGATCCATATTACTTGATCCTTGCAATAGAAAATAAATAAGTCATTCTATTGATCCAAATCACTGCCAATGTTCCAGTTTTTAATTTATATTAAATTGCTATTTTCTAACAAAGAACCATCAACCACTTGGGTCTTTTAACTTCCATACCTAGAACTAGTAATTGGCTTTTTTACTTTTTAAAATCAAGTTTCTATTTTTAAAGAGTATAGAATAAGAAAAGGGACTTAAGTAACAGATGTTGGGAAGTCAACCTGTGAGTTGGTTCTGCCCCTCTATGTTGACATGCAGTTATTCTGTTCTATAAAATTACAGTGGGGACCCCTGAGGTCAAAAATAGTTATATTAAATCCATGAATGGCATTAGTCTACTATATTATTTTCACACAGGCACTTCCTGTGCTAGAAATTAAACTATAAATGAAGATTATAAAAAATATTCTAATGTTGATAAAATTTTTAATAAAATACCATATTCTTACTCATTAGAGGATTGTCATCAGTATTTCTCATCTCTTTGTTTATAATTGCAGTATTAAAGCACTGCCCTTAAAGCAAAGAGCAAGCCTCTTATAAGTTCCCAGATTAAAAGTTATTTTACCATACATTCAGAAATTAAAATATTGGCATTTTCTATTCCATTCAAAACATGTTTAAAAATCTGCCATTATTTTGTTAATGATTTTGAGTCTGAAACCATTTAATATTGTGTTTATTAATGTTGATGTTCTTTCACTTTGCTGTTAGGTCAAAATTTTGACTGTGCATATACCAACTTCCAGCAGGAAGGGTGGGTAAAGGTTTTAGTATGTACAAATTATTCCAACTACCATCTTCTTATGCTATATTTCAGGCTTAAAAAATATTTTAAGATGGTAGGTTGGTATTTTATGTCTTAGATAAAATAAATATTTAGATTCTTTCCTTTCCCCTTCAAGAAAGTTAATTGCTATTGCATGAGGAAAAGGGAGCTTTCAGATTTTTTAAAATATATTTTAGTAATGCTGCTTTTTTAGTTTTGCTTGCACATATTTTGTTTATTTTTGGGTCTGGCAATTTAAAAACAAAATTAAAAAAAAATCATATCCATCCATTATTATCTTTGTGATTCCAGTGCTTGAAATTTCCAAGAGTATGTCTGTATAAGTCTTCTATCTGTTTGGCCTCATTTTGGTATACTTGCAGACTTCATTTTGTTTTCTTTCTCTTAATTCTGTTAATTTATTTAATCTCATGGGAGAGAAAACATGACCATTCTTTTATATACTGTACTTCATTCCTTCATCTAATTCATACTCTTAACAGCTTTGGGTTCATATATTTGTTTTTGTTAGTGGAGTTGCTGCAGTTTACGTGCCATGGTGGTGCTCAAGTAAAATAACATAGATGGAAACAAGTTATTTCTCCAGTAGGATTTCATTCCTTTTTTTTCTGCTTGTGTCAACTATGTAATCCTAAATCTTTAAGAACTATGTTGTACTGTCATTTTACATTTTAAATTGTATAAATTACTAAGAAGTCAGGTAAACTTCATTTCTATAAATTTGAGTGTAAGTTGTCTTGTTGCTTTGAATATATCTTTACTGAGAAGAAAACTAAGATGAAAATTATATTTCAGTGTTGGCAAATTGATTTTCTAATGGCAAATTATGATTTATTCTTTAATAAAATGTTTCAGACTTTACTTTCATGGAAGTCTGAAAATGAAATTGATTTTATAGCAGTTAGGATGTTGACTACCTGGTAACATGAAGTTTGTTTTTTTTTAAGCCCTAAGTTTTTGTATATAAACATTAACAGCTCATATAAGCATCTACTTAGTAATCAACAGTCCTTCTTATATTTTTCCTTAACATTTTATATTCTGTAGAATCTGCTTTCTTAAAATGTTCCTTTAATTAAAATTTAATTGACATACACATCACAATTTTAAAATTTTGTACCATTTAAATTCATGACATTCTACACAAAAGTATTGAACATGCTTGAGAAATAATTTGATTCTCTTAATCCATTTGCGTGTTCTGAGTAGTTATCATCCTTTGCATGTCTATGGCTTGCTGCTTATGTTTAAAAGAATTGTAATTTGTTGTACTTAGAAACTTCTTTTGGTTTTACATAATAAGAACTTGGCACAAATATACTATTTAAATCTACTGCTCTATTGATTTTATATATTCTCATTAGTAACCAACTGTTGACACCATCTTTGGTCACAAAGAAATTACTTAATCTAATGAAACCTAACAGACGGCATTTTTATTCTCATTTTCTCTGCTTAAGTTCAGTTTAGCTGTTCATGATATAGGGTATTATGGAAAAGAAGGCGTCTTGACAATTATATTTAGTTTAATACTGAAAACAATTACTTTAACTATTTATAATATAAATCATAGCATCCAGTAAAACACACACATATTTACCGTTTCTCTTTTTCACAAAATCCTCTAATAATTTATACCTTTAAAAATATTTATATTTAAATATCTTAAACAATACTTTTCTATAGCCTAGTCATCATTTGTACCCTGTATAGAAATTTCAAAGTAACAATAGTAGCAAATTGGTTTGTTATTTAGAAAAATTATAAAATTCATTCTACCTGGAAAAATGATACTAGTTCCAGGATATCTGTGATTTTGTAAAATAATTTTTGTGCTGTTGGCAGACAACATACTTCCTGTTAAAAGGAAGAGAGCCTATAACATGGGAAAGCTATTTGAACTTAATTATTCTTTGATTCTCTTGAAATGATCAGCTTAAAGACCCTTTTAAATATGATTTATGCTACCCTAAGTAATATTCATATATATCTTTGTCTTTGGGGGCAATGGGAGAAAAGTAAGTTGTAATAAAAACTGCATTACTTCAGGTAGGTATAAATGTAGAGGTCAATCAAATTTTTAATAATACATCAAAACAACTAATCCCTATTAAATTACAGAAATTGAAGTCCCAGCTCTATTAAGTCTTTAATTGCGTATGGAGTGTTTCGTCCATATCACCCTTAGCATTGCCTGTGTGAACCACCTCTATTAATACTACTTTACTGATTTTTCTATTATTTCCAATTCTGACTTGATAATCCATGGCTTTTATTTCATTGCTTAACAATGTTTGTATCCTTTATTCAGCAAATAGTTTACACTGGCCTATTTTGTATCAGTCAAGATTTTTCTCAGGTAACAGCTTTATTATTATTTTTTTAATTAACAAAAGAGGTAGGATTACATAAGAAAAATGATCTAAAATTACAAAACGGGACTTTAAAACTAGTGTCCTAATAACATGAACATTGCTTCTTATATAGGAGTGGGCTAAATTAGGTTTACAGTTGTAAGCAAAGTAGAGTTTATTCTTGTATTATTATTATTTATTAATTATTGTATTATTTGTATTATTTTCCATACAAACAACTGTAAACCTACTGTTGCCAACCCCTGTATATATGTAATCTAATCAAAGTTGAAGATTTGTTTTTGTTACTTAATTGTCATCTTTGTGCAAGACAATGTATGCCACAGAATTGAGATGTTTGTTGGCTTTATTATATAGCATGACTAAAAATTGATGAAATTGAATTGGTGTATAAATTAATCCTTAAAAATACAAATACTGTTAATGTAGCTACTTGAGAAAAATGATATGTGTTCATTTTTCTTTTATTTTTAAGCATATTTTCTTTCAAAATTACTTCACAAAATTATAAATTTTCCTACTAAGATAAAAGCCAAATATTATACAATAATGGTACTGAGAATTTTAAATTTTATTTATAAATTTTAAATTTTATATATGCTATCTTTTACATTTATACTATTCTTTAAATTTGTATTTTGTAAACTAAATATATGTTGTTGAATCCACTTGATATGACAGAATATTTTTAATTGTTATATCTTTACTAATGCATCAAAGGTTGGAATGATCCTCTTGTTGCAGTTTGATTTTTCGGCAGACCTGTTCTCTTTGGATTGAGGCTTTACTTTAAAAGCCTGATTTTTTTTAAGTGTCCTAGAACTTTCTTTAAGTTTAGAATAGTCTCCATAATTAAAAAAAAAAATTATTGTTTTAAGGCATTTAGCCCTAAGTAAAAAAACTAAACAAGCATGATCTATTACTTTTCGTTTTTATTTCACAGCATGTATTGATAATAAATGCCATTTTAAAAGCAAAACCCCCGAATATATCATGATTGTTATGAGATGTTTAATAAAGAACTAATGTAAAATATGCTTCATGCTTATATGTCAATTATATCAAGATATTAGGTAGAGATCTAGCTTTTAGTCATTTGAATATTATGTGTAATATACAAGTGGTACAGTTTAATTTGTGTTTCAATCTTTACATTGTCATCGCATGTATTCACTGTATTTTTTAATGTGTCAACTGTTTTCTCTTTATAGATTAGTATTTCAATGTAACCATCCCATATCAATTCAAACTTACCATCTGGTCTCTAGCTTGTTATATGAAAATCTTTTATTATTGTCCTCCATTCTTAGTGTTTTTTGGTGAGCTACACCTGAGTTGTACATCTTCTTTTTCTTTTATTTGCTTTTGTATACAGGCTGGCTTAGCGGGAGCTCCAGCCCGTGCTGTTTCAGCTGTAAAGAATATGAATCTTCCTGAGATCCCAAGAAATATTAACATTGGTGACATCAGTATAAAAGTGCCAAACCTGCCCTCTTTTAAATAAAAAAAATTTAAAAGGCCACTCCCAGGTAAAATCCAGGGGGAAAAGTCATCTAAGTTTACCATGCAGTTGTTTACCAAAAATAGAGGAGGAGAGTCTTACCTTTTGCTCTTGGATTTAAGTCAAGGTACTGTATAGAAGTTGTGTAAAATCAGTATGGCGGTTCAATGTTGTTTTTCTTGTTCAGTGATTTTAAAGAAATTGAATAGTTTCAGTGTGATTTTTTAAAAAATTTCTTTTCTAAACTGCATTCCTATGCCCACCTAAGGCATGCTTCTGTGTATTGGCAACAACAGTATTTCGAAAAGTGTTTGAAGCATTTCTTTAAATTATGTACTACTCAAAATGTTGCTGGAGTTTTGTATGGATCACAAGTATAGCATTCCTTAATTCTTTCTGTTATTTGTCACAATTGTTATTTAAAGAATCAAGTATGTATTGCATGAAAACATTATGACCTTTTCCTCTTAGTTTAAATAAACTCCAAGGTAACTGGACTCTTAAAGCACCTTTCTGTTCGCCTGATATCTACTTTAGCAATAATTTTTTTATGACCCTCCTACTCAACAAAGTAAATAAAAGTGTATTTTATCACTGTTAAGCAGCTGTTAATGACAATGTGTTAAATTTATACTTCTGTCTTTAATACAGTCAGACCTCAGTTCTCGAGCATCTCCCATCTCGAACAATTCAATTCTTGACCAAGTTGTTCACGGAAAAAATGTCTCGGTTGTCAAACAAAACTTCAATTCTCAACTGGACAACCCTTTCATGCGGATACCTGTATAATCAGTCATGTGTTTCTTAGGTGGCAAACAAAGGAGAGAATATGCAAGTCTGAGTCAGTTTACCGCTAAAATTGTTAACATCTCAGGAAATTGTGCTGTGAATATTTTTTGTTTTCTTTTGTTGCAGCTTATTATTATTAAATACTTACATTAAGTCCCCATGGGTCCTACGGAGGTTAGTGATAGGAGCAAAATGGAAAGGAAAGTTGTGAGAACAATGATAGAGCTTAAAAAAAAATAATTGTCTGATCTGGCTACTGAAAATGGCTTGCAAAATTGACAATTAGCACAATTTTAAAATGCTAAGAGTATGAAAGTGCTCACAAAACAATGCAACTGAGAAAGGTTAAAATGGAATCATTTGGGGGTCTGGAATGAATGAATTCAGTTTACATTATTTCCAATTGGGGGGGAAATGATTCAGTTTTCAAACAAATCGCTTCTTGAATAGCCTTCCAGCATGAATTAAGTTCAAGAACTGCAGTTTCAATGTATTCGGGAACTCACTGAATTATTCTAAAGCTCAATTATTTCACAATCAAAAGTAGTGTATCTCATAACACATTATCTAGGATGAGTTCTGGAATGGGACATGACATCTTTTTCTAAAAATTGTAGAATCCATTTTATACATAAAGGTTTAAACCTTGCGTCTGCTCTCGCTCAGATATTGAAAAATAATTTTAGCAAATACTTAGTTTCTTTTGAACACAAAACCCTTTGGAACTCCTTTTGATTGGCCCATCCCAAAGTCAAAGCTATACTATTTTCCTAAGCCCTAACATTCGTATTCTGATTTCTCATAATTGGCCCACATTTTCTTATTTGGTCTTACCTTGTGAACAGTGGGTGGGGTTCCTCTTCCAATTAGACCAAGGTTTTCCTTACAGTTCTAGTCTTCCCTCCCCAAATGTTCTCTGAAACATTTCGTTAGATTTGTGGGATGTAAGCAAAGTCACTTTATTTTTTTCTAAATAAAATTAATCTGTCTCTAAGCCTCTTCCTGTTGAGGCAACAGGAAATTCAGTCGGTGATTATTTCCATCAGTTCACAGATGTGTAAAAGTCTTAGAGGAAGGTTATACAAAGCAACATTCGGGGAGATCCCTGGTCTTCAGTCATTCGACAAATGTCTAAGTGCCTGCTGTACCAGGTGAGTAAGTCCCCGTTCTCATGGAGCTATATACAGTACCACACACAGTGCCTGGCAGCCTGGCAGTATTTCCTCCTTTCTCTTTTTTCTTTCTTTTTTTTGGGGGGCGGGGGGAGGGGCGGTGTGTGTGGGGATTATGGGAAGATTAAGTTTTGTTTGTTAAGGATGTGCCCATATTAGGGAAACCTCTGGGCAAGATCATACTTTAATCTAAAGAAACAATCAAAAGGGTTTTATTTCCATTATATTCTATGAAATACAATGCTCAAACAACCAATCAACATTCCTCCTCTTCCCCTTCCTTTTTCCTTTAGTAAATACTTACTGAGCATCAGCTATGTGCCAGGCTTGTTCTAGGTACTTGGATATAGCAAGGGAACAAAGTAGTTTATATTATAGCATAAATTTAAATGGCCACAAACAAATAAATATATAATATGTCAGGTGGTGATAAGTACTGTGGAGATAGATAACGCTGGAGAAAAGAGTATAGGGAGTAGCGAGTTAGGGAGTGAGTTGGGCTGTTACTGTGATCCATAGAGTGGGTAGGGGAAGGCATCACTGATGAAGTAATATTTGAATAAAAACCTGGAAGTAGTAAGGAGGGAGTTGTGGAGATTTGTGGGGCAAGAGTAATCCAGACAGAGGAAATAGCATTGGCAAGGCCCAGTTATGTAAGGGCATGCTTGAGATGTTTGAAAAACATCAAGGAGCCATAGCAGAAAGGGCAAAAGGGAGAGTGAGTTATTTAATGGCCCTAATTATAAATCATTTACACTGTTTATTCATGAATGGTGCACAATACGGGATACTATTTAAAAATATATTTTTGATTTCAGAGAAGGGAGAGAGAGAGAGAAACATCAGTGATGAGAGAGAATCATTGATTGGCTACCTCCTGCATGCCCCCCACTGAGGATAGCTCCTGCAACCCAGGCATGTGCCCTGACTGGGAATCAAACGTGATCTGCTGGTTCATAGGTCGACATTTAACCATTGAGCCACGCCAGCCAGGCTATTAAATAACTCTTAAAACTTTTTAATATTTTGGGAAGTAACAAGTCAGAAACTTCCAGTTAAACATTGATTATTAAACACATTTATGTTTGTGTTCTCTCAGACCACACTGAAGTGAATGACGGTAAAGAATTTTTAAATAATAATATATATCCAAAAGGTCAAAAAAAATCAGAGAGATGATAACAGGTGTATAATTTTGGAAACTGGAAAACATAAGTGAGAGGTATATAATTGAGGTAGCTGAAATTTAAGTTGGCAGTAGAATAACTGTGGAAGCATGTGGATTTGCACTGCAGAACCCTGAAGATTTTAGGAATTGGAGGTACAAGTGAAAATGGGAGAATTACCTAGAGGTCTGTCTATCCCATTCACCATATCACAAACCTTAGCAATTGCCTTAGCCTTTTATTCTCCCCTACAGGAGACCACAGATACAAGCACAGTTGAGGACAGGGGAACTGAACTAGGAGCCAGGTGATTACCCTAAAGATACATTCTCATTGGTGCTTTGTCCCCACAGCACCCAGATTGTGGGCAGTCAGGCTTATACCCTATTCTCAGCAGGAAATCGTAGTCTATTCTTCCACAGGGAAATTTGCCCAAGAGAAAAGACCTACAATTAATGATGTTTTAAATTTTCTTACTGATAGGGCTATCCATATCATCCTTCACTAGAGCTCTTCTGTTGAAAAGCCTCTCCCATGCACCCATAGCTTGCAGTCTGGTTTTTAGGGCCTCACATATGAGCACGCAGCACAGATCGTCAAACACTTGAGAGCTGTTGATTTGAAAGATAAGAGACCTACACAAAACATAATGAAACTAACAGGAAAGACCTTAAAAAACTAAAAGTAGTCATTACTAGTCCCACTGTATCAGACACCCTTTGTGTATCACTTCAGAAACCTCAGTCCAGACATTGCTGCAGTAACTAACTCTTCATGGTCAACTACAACTGGACCTTGCCATGTTTTTGCCTCTAGCTACAACTTTCTGTTCCCTGCCCTGGGCTTCTGTGCCACCCCAATTGGAATGTAGTAACCTTGACACTCCTATATGCACAATTTGGAGTTGAGGGAAAATTAACTCCAATCTGAGACCCGTGAATTGAATAGGTATTTCTCCTTTTTGTACCTTAGAGTTCTGAGAATATTTCAAAAAGATTTCTCAGAAAGTCCTCTGGGATTGAGAGCCAGTTATCTGCATCCTCTTTTTACTTTTAAATTTTAAACTTTGTCTCCTTCATTTAGTGCCCATCTTCTACACTTTGCTGGGATTACATTCTTCTCAAAATTGCCTGTGAATAAGCCTGCTTTCGAGGCTCTGCTTTTAGGGAACCCAGGCTAAGGTCAAGAATAGGAGCAAGAAAGGAACATTTGGGGAACAAGATGAAGCTCTTGGGCATATTTTTAAGTAGTATAACATGGAATATTTAATGAAGGAATGGATGAGAAAGTTGAGAGGATTCCCAGAAAGTAGGGAAAAAAAGACAAATAGATGGATAAGAAAAGAAAAGGTAAAATTAGAGGATCACTCTCTGTCCAGTAGGTAATTCACTCTCTGACCAGTTCCAGAAGAGGAAGAAAAAGAAAATGTAGGGGAGACAATTATAAAAATTTTTTTTGAAGATTATGTAGATCATAAGAATATGAGTTCCCAGATTGAAGCCCCCATTGGGTATTTAGCAAGTTCAGTAGTGGCTGTCTTCTTAAGGCCAGGACTTATGGTAGGAAATGGTGTTATAGATCTGGGTGCCCTAATAACAATGGGGATGATGGATCCTGAAATAATAGATACCAGCTTGTGGCACTTAACTGGCAGGAGCAAAGTGGGTAAATAATGAACTAACTGCAAGGTCAGGGTGGCAGCCTCAGTTCCTGATCTGCAGAAAGCTATAGAGATGGTTAATGGAACCCTAGGCACCAGATAGATGGCCAACCAGTAAAGGCATTGCCCAATCTTATAATCAGAAATAAAATTTTAAAAAAATGGATGATCAAGAGGCTGAGAGCAGCCATCACAATAAAATGTTATGAACTCTTGTTCAGTTTCTGTTCCTGAGCCAGTTCTCAGACCCAGAACTCATTGATTGACAGAAAGAGGAAGGACCCTGCACACCACAGCAAGTGCATGTTAATTATTTTCCCACTGCTCTAAAGAGACTTGGGTAACCATACACTGGGAAATAGAAAATACCCAATATTTTGAGGATTATTAGGCATTGTTTCCAAGTTGACGTTGATAACTAGAGACCAAACATTATGCCCATTTTGTCCCTATTAGAGTGCATATAGGAGTGCCAAGAAGGTTACTATAACATTCCAACTGGGGTGGCAGAGAAGTCCAGGGCAGGGATCAGGAAGTTGTGGCTAGAGCCAAAAATATGGCAAGGTCCAGTTTGTATTAGAATGGGAGCATAAGGGGGCTGAATAATAAATTCAGTCTTGGCCCACATCTAGCTCAGCGAGTCCACTGGGTCCACAGGTCCACCTAGAGGTCATTTTCCTCATCACTCAATATATCTGTTAGTGTTTGGGGGAAATTCTATAGTGGTTCCTTGGCCTATGAGATAAGAACTATTGTAGAAAGGAAGATTAAGTGGAAGCTTAGAAATTGTCCCCATACTGTCAGCCACAATAATAAGTATATAGCAATATGCATCTTGGGGAGGAAAAAAATATTAGTGCCACACTTAAACACCTAAAAGATGCTAGAATGGTGGTCTCCATCACATCCCCATTTAATTGGCCAGTCTGTTCCCTAGAGTTGGATCCTGGAGGATGACAGTGGACTGCCCCAAATTTTACTAAGTTGTAACTCCACTTGTAGTTGCTGTGCCTGATATGGTATCTTTGAGCAGATCAACAATGTAGACTCAGGCAGTAGCTAATGGCTTGATTGTTAACCAAAGACCTAGAAGAAGAAAGATTAGAAGATCAGGAACAAAAAGTTTAGGGAAGAGGCATGTGGGTAGATCTATATGAATGAACATGAAAATATGAAGGTTTTCAATTGGATGTTACTCATCAGCAAAGACACCACCAAGTAGAATGACTCAGCAAAGTGTTAATGTGGCTGTTATTGGCCACTGCAGTGTTTGGCACAATGGGAATTTGAATGAAGTAGCTAGGAATGGAGGATACCCATGGTCCAACAGCATGGGCCTTCTACTCATTAAGGCTGATTTAGCTACTGCTTGTGTCAAATACAGGGTGGGGCAAAAGTAGGTTTACAGTTGTTTGTATGGGTAAATTATCTTAATGAACTAACTGCAATGTCAGGGTGGCAGCCTCAGTTCTACAATTAATAAATAATAATACAAGAATAAACTGTTTTGTGTACTTACAACTGTAAACCTACTTTTGCTCCACCTTGTATTTTATCTACCAATAACAGAGATCAATGGTGAGCCCCTAATACAGCACCTTCCCTTGAGAAAACCAAGCAGCCACTTGGTGGCAAGTAAGTTTGGACCCCT